ATGATCCAAGAACATGGCTATTAGAGGGGCGTTTCCTCTATCTCCCACCATTTCTGCCCCATCTCTAGTGTTTCTAAAGGGGAATATGAGGGCTAAGTCCAGAAGTTGCAATTCGCCTTCACTCATGGTACCGGTGATCTTCTTTGCAAAGAACATGCTGGCAATGGACTGGTGTAGATACCTCACCACTGGGCTTCTAATAGAGGAACTCTTGCTTTTCGAAGGTATGTAATCTCCTGGTCGCGCTTATCGAAATTTTGCACCAATCCCTCTTTGCTCGAGAATCCATACAAGAGATTGAGCTCCCTGATCGTTAGTGAGTGGTCTCTTCCCTTGACAGAGAACGTGATGTATCCAAAACCTCTCACATTCTCTTCTTCTTGATCATCCGCGTAGAAGTGTACGTCGAGAGTAGCTAGGAGCTGGCAGGTCTCCTCTTGATATCCCTCGAAACTATACCAAGGAAGGTTTTTAAACCGCACATCTCAGCAAGGTAGTCCACATCTTCAGCAATTCCCAAAGCAGCCATCATTTCCCGATGAGGATGTCTTGTGCCTTCGAAATCCAGCGACTTGAGATAGCTATAGTACTCCTCAGGAGTAGGAGGCTTCTTCTTCTTTCCTTTCCTTTTGGCGGGCTTAGCAGGTTTGATCTCTTCCTCCATTTCAACAGCTTCTTCTTCTTCCATTTCAACAGCCTCTTCTTCCGGTGTGGCTTCTAAATCCGCTTCCATAACCCTCTTCCCGCGACTTATCTCTCTTCTCCTTCTGGCCAAACGTTCGGCATCGTCACCTCTTGAACTCGGGGAGCCTCCTCGACGTCCCTCCTCGACATGACGTCGAGTAGGTTCATAACCAGCTTGACTCAGCACCATTTCACTTCCTTCATGTTCTGGTCTATCTTCTCGCACAAAACTGGAATGACCGGTCCAAGAGAGCGGATCGTGAGGGCTAGCCTGGGGTTCTCTGAAACTTGTGAGGTCACGGGCTGGAATCCTCTTGTTGATATTAGCAAAACCACGTGCAGCGTGTCTTGCAGAAGCCTTCTTTCTTTCTTGGTCACTATCCATGGTGTTTCCTTCAGCAAAAGTAGAGAAAAGAAAGCAAGTGAATCAAAGGAGCAGAGAATGGAATTTAGAAGGAAAAGAAGTGAATTTGAAACCGATTAAATGTTGTAAATCGAGTTTAAAACCAAAGATTAGGAAGTTGCAAAGCTTTAAAGACTCAAAGCAAAGTTGAAATGAGAGAACTAGAGCTATAATAGAGAAATGAGAGAATGAGAGGAGTTTGAGAAGTGGTGCTTCCCTTTTAAAGACGCACAAGGAGACCAAAAGCAAGGGTGGAGCGTGTGGGAGCAGGGATTGTCGGATCTGGGATTCAAATTTGAATTTTGAACGGTTTGGCGTTGGACTCGACGTGTAGGCTCGACGTGGTGGGGTCGAGTAGGATGTCGGCAACTTCAAATTTGAATTTTGGAGGGACTTTGCTTGGACTCGAGGTGTTGACTCGACGTGGGGTCGAGTTGACTAGTTGACCGGATTTGAATTTGAATTTTGGCTCCAAGGTTGACTTCCTGGATAGTTGACTCGATTTGAATGGGCTTGGCTGTGTTGGGCTTGGCTTATCATCGAGTTGGGCTTCGTTTAAAGCTTAGAGCCGGTCCATTGGGCTACTCGACTTGTCATCGTGTAGGGTTGGTCGAGTCTGGCCCTCTTCCATTTCCTTGACTCCAACAGATTAAATCCTGAGAATCACAGACACTAAAAAAAAACATCAAAAATAACAAGGGATAAAGAGCTATTTACAAAGATAAACATGGGAATTTCTCTCCCAAGTGAGCTTGTTTAAAGTCACTGAGCTTGACTTTACTACTCTTTTAGGCGAGTTGAGGTTCCAGAAGATGAACTGTAGATCCTTTAGGAATGACGCTATCTGCGAGATACTTCTTAAGCCGCTGACCATTCACCTTAAACTCTGACCCGTCCTTAGCAAATAGCGATACCGCACCAAATGGTAGAACTTCTTTGATAGTGAAAGGACCAGACCACCTTGATTTGAGCTTTCCCGGAAATAGCTTGAGTCTGGAGTTGAACAGTAACACTTGGTCTCCAGCCTTGAAGTCGTTTGGTGAAATCTTCTTGTCATGGAAAGCTTTTGTTCTTTCCTTGTACACCTTTGAACTCTCATAAGCTTCAAGCCTTATTTCCTCAAGTTCGTGCAAGTCAACCAATCTCTTCTCCTGAGCTTCTTTGATATCCAAGTTCAGCAACTTAGTAGCCCAGATCGCTTTGTATTCTACCTCAACTGGAAGATGACATGACTTCCCGTACATCATCTGAAATGGCGTCCTTTCTATTGGCGTCTTGTATGCAGTCCGGTATGCCCAAAGTGTATCATCTAACTTGGTAGACCAGTCTCTCTTTGAAACACCAATAACCCTGGCGAGTATGGCCTTGATCTGACGGTTGGATACTTCTACTTGCCCGCTAGTCTGAGGATGATAGGGAGTGGCTACCTTGTGTTTTACACCGTGCTTCTTTAACAGACTCTCAAAGACCTTGTTGATGAAATGAGAACCTCCATCACTGATCACAGCCTTAGGGATACCAAATCTGGGGAATATGGTGCTCTTAAACAGCTTTAAGATCACTTTATGATCATTAGTTGGAGATGCAATGGCCTCAACCCATTTGGAGACGTAGTCCAGAGCAACAAGGATGTACTTATTACCATAGGAAGCAGGATTGAATGGTCCCATGAAATCAATTCCCCACACATCAAAGACTTCAACCTCTAGGATAGGGTTCTGCGGCATTTCATTCCTCCTGGTGATGTTCCCCATTCTCTGGCAGGGATCCCATTTAGCAATGAATCCATGTGCATCTTTAAACATGGAAGGCCACCAAAGGCCGGCTTGGAGGACCTTTTGTACTGTCTTGAAGGTAGCAAAGTGACCGCCATTAGCAGAACGTTCCAGCACTCCTTGAACTTCCTCTTCAGCAATACACCTTCTAAATAGGCCATCAGTACCCTTCTTATACAAATAAGGTTCATCCCAGTAGTAATGGTTGATGTCTCTAAAGAACTTCTTCTTCTGGTAAGCATCAAGGTATTTGGGGATTTCTCCACAGATAAGGTAATTCACAAGGTCAGCATACCATGGAAGCTCTTCTTCCTTGACCGCACATGCTACTTCGATTTCCTTCTTGTTGTACGCTATTTCATAACTCTTGATGGCCAAAAACTGCTCTTCAGGCATTGAATCGTCTATCGGGATTTCATCTTCAATCCGTATTCTGGACAAGTGATCAGCTACTCCGTTTTCTATACCCTTCTTATCAACAATCTCCATATCAAACTCTTGAAGTAACAAAATCCATCTCAGTAGTCTAGGCTTGGTGTCCTTTTTAGCATAGATGTGCCTCAAAGCTGCATGGTCTGTATAGACAGTAACCTTGGATCCAACCAGATAGCTCCTGAACTTCTCAAATGCAAAGACTACAGCCATCAACTCTTTCTCTGTTGTAGCATATCTCACTTGAGCATCATCCAAGGTTCTGCTTGCATAATAGATAACATGGAGCTTCTTATCTATCTTCTGACCCAGCACAGCCCCAACCGCATAGTCTAAAGCATCACACATGATTTCAAAAGGATGATCCCAGTTTGGTGCTTGGACGATTGGAGCAGACACTAGAGCTTCCTTAATCATGTGGAAAGCTCTCATATACTCTTCATCAAAGAAGAATTCGGTCTCTTTACAGAGAAGTCGAGTAAGTGGTCTAGCAATCTTTGAGAAATCCTTGATGAATCTCTTGTAAAAGCCGGCATGACCCAGAAAACTTTTGATATCCTTCACGTTTTTTGGAGGCTGCAACTGTACCATGACGTCAATCTTGGCCTTTTCAACCTCAATCCCTTTCTCTGATATCTTGTGTCCCAATACTATACCCTCTCTGACCATGAAGTGACACTTCTCCCAGTTCAGCACTAGATTGGTCTCCTCACACCTTGCTAGAACCCTGCATAGATTTAACAAACAAGAGGAGAAAGAGGAGCCATCACTACAGGAAATGTGGGTATTAATAGCACAATAAGATAACGTTTTTTTTGTATATGCTATGTTTGACTGAATCGTGAATTAAAGATAGCGTTTTATAAATTGTAAACGCTACAGTAAATTGTAATTTGTTTAAGCGGGATAATGAAATTGAGGCGGGCCAATTTTGTGATTCTAATCTTTAATATCCCGCTATTGAAAATCTTAAGAGGGAAAAAGGTGAAATTTTTTCTAAAGCAAAATAAAAGAAAACCTTAAAAATTACTTCTCTTTTTTTTTGTTGCCTAAGGCAAAAGCAGATCGACAACTTCTCTCTCACTCGATTTCTTGAGATATTGAGATCAAAATCTGCAACTCTCACTCGATTTCTCTCAACCTCACTCGATTTCTCAGTCTCTCCCTCTAATTCTCACTTTATCTCACTCGATTTCTCAGTCTCTCCCTCTAATTCTCACTTTATCTCACTCGATTTCTAACTGTATCATCTTGATTTCTCAGTCTCTCAACTCGATTTCGCACAATCTCCCTGGAATCTTCAATATATAGGTATGTTCTCATTCAATCGTAGCTTCTTTGTTATTTGGAATGGAAAACCATTTTGATTTGGGGTTCCGATTCTTGGGTTGTGTGAACATTGATGCAGAAGTTTGTGATTTTGGGTATCAATTTTGATTTTGGGATTTGATTTTGGATTTGATTCTTAGTTTTAGTGACTATAATATAAACTTGTTTAATTGATTTTTCCATAGTGGAACGACGTTTGTTAGATTACTTCTGATGGTTGATGGTATAAGATTGATCTTGTGAATATATAATTCCTGTTCGAATATCTTGTCTTCTGATTTTTTTTCATTTGCATAATTCTGATTGGATTTTCGTTTTGGTTTAATTTTGATATAGCGAGGATTAAGGTTCACGAGCTTAGAGATAAGTCAAAGACTGATCTTCAGAATTAATTAAAGGAGTTCAAGGCTGATATAGCGAGGATTAAGGTTCACCAGCTCTATTTACGCTGCATCTACTGAAGAACGGTGTGATGGGCTTGAAGCTTAACCATATGAGGAGATTACTAAACACTGAGAAATTGATCTGAAGTCTGAAACTCTCGTGGAGATTACTTCACTACTGTAGGCTTCTACATCAGTTCTATGGTAACTTCTGATCTCCACATGTCAAACTGAGTTAACCATTGACTATGAATTTGTTTTTAACGGAGTTATTCTGTGTATTACAGACTATGAACTACATGATGTATTCGAGAAGCCACTTTGTGAAAGGAATGGAGCTGATGGTGCTGCTGATATGTTATAGGCTGTACGGGAAAGCAACAGAGGACTCAGTGGCATATGCGCTTGTGATGGGCTCAACCTGGTTCCTGGTGGGTTCCTGGTTGTTTGATTAGTTCTTTTTCAATCCCTCAGGATTCGAGTGGCAGAAGATAGTTGATGACTGGGATGATTGGAACAAGTGGATAAGCAGCAGATCTTAGGCTTGTAGTGAGTATAGTGCTTATAATGATACAAGTTTTATGTTGCAAGTGACTATAGTGAGTATAGTGCTATCCGAACTCAATTTGAAACATAAAACTTGTAGTGAGTATAGTGCTTCTTCTGAAGTCTGAAACTCTCGTGGTTTACAGTTTGTGAAGAACAGCTCTTAGGCTTCCCTTAATCAAGCTGGTCAGTGGTGATTTTAGTAGTTTTGTGTCTCGTGGCTGCGTTGGTTCTTCCCCGATTTCTGCCATCTTATCTTCTAATCAAAGATGGAGATCGTGATCGTTGAGAAGAAACATGGTTAATACAGACTGATGGTTGCAAAAGGTTGATGATGCAAAAGTGTGGAGGCCAAATTCAGAAGTAAAGTTCATCTCCGATGCAATAGGCACAATATTGGCTTGGCCTAATAATGAGTCTACGTCTGAAACTTTTAAGTACTGTGTTTTATATATCTAGAATGTTATGTAGAACACTTTGTTTTCTATTGTTGAATGCACTTGACTTTTGATACAAACCACATATTTGAGAATGCAAGCACAATTAAAGTTTAAGTTAAAATCCACATATTTTAAATTCCTAAATTAAATCTCTAAACCCTAAATTAAAATTAAAATTCTAATTAAATTAAATCTTTAAAATCCTAATTAAATTAAATCTTTAAACCTTAAATGAAAGTTAAAATCCTAATTAAATCAAATCTCTAACCCTAAACCCTAAACCCTAAACCCTAAACCTAAATAAAAGTTAAAATCCTAATTAAATTAAATCTTTAAACCCTAAATTAAAGTTAAAATCCTAAATTAAAATCCAAAAACTATCTAACTTGAGTAAAAAAATCTAAACCCCAAAGTTTAAACCCAAAACTATGCCCTAGTGTTTATGAACATATAAGCTAGATAGTTGGAATACTAACTTATATTAATTGTTCTTAATTTTAAAATTTTATACTCATAAGAAAAAATATTCTAAAAATTGAAATACTTATATTAAATTTTTAAAGAAATAATTTCTATTTTTTTCATTAATAAACTATTTTATATGATAATTTTCTAATTTTTTCATTAATAGCCAATGGGAAGTAACCTCCCAGATTGTGGGACTAATCCTACACCGTTAGATAGCGCCGACTTTGATCTCAGCCGTCCATTCTTATTGTTGATGTGATTAATGTACACCGTTGATATGTCTTGATAACTTTGATCTGAGCCGTTCTTTTTGTTAGCCAATGAGCATTAACCTCCAGGATTGAACTTTGGCTTATTCTCCACCATTGATAAATTAAATCCAACGGTTAAGATTTTCTCCTTCTTTTCTTTTTTTTTTTGGTTAAAACTTCTTTTCCTTTTCCCTCTTCTCTTCGTATGAGAAAATCAAAGGTTCCAAAATCAAACTCTACGAATCTTGAGCAAGCGTATCGCTCCCTCATCTCCGCTTCCAGAGGTTTATCTCGCACTCGTAGCCCTTCTCTTCCAGAATCTCAGCCTCCGCCACCGCAATTAGAATCCCAATCCCCTTCTACGGTGGTTAGCTCGTTCCCAGCTCCGGTGACGCCGTAGCCTCCATCTCAGGAGGAAATTCAAACCAGAAGCAGGAACAGAGATGAGATGCGAAGAGTGCATGACTGCTATAAGCGTCTCAAATCTTCTATTGGTCAGAGAGATGGTGGTGGATGCTCTGCGAATCTTGAGCAAGCGTATCGTTCCCTCATATCCGCTTCCAGAGGTTTATCTCGCACTCTTAGCCCCTCTCTTTCGTTCGATTTAGTTTTACCAATTGGATGATTAATTATTTGCTATTTGTCGGAGTTGATGGAATTCGATTTTTTATTTTCAATTCGAGTATTTGTAGTTAGAACATCACCAAGCATATTGTTTTATAGTCTCTTGGCTGGAATTAGATTTCTCAACCATTCTCGAAGCTTGATAAAGCCATGTATATGCTGGTTGTGGTGTTTCTTTGTAGTCCATATCACACTGTGTCAGCTTTTATGTGTTCCTTCCCATTAATGTTACTTGTAAGCCTGTTCTTGTGGGGTTTCAAAATCTGTAGACTGTAGTTCCATTCATATGTAAGGTGGGGGTGATGTGTAGTTATCTGGAAATCATCTATGGAAGGAAAACTAGTGCACAGATGAAATTTACAAAATTTTAGTCCTAAAGAATAGAAGCCTTATAATGAAGTCTCTTGGAGTAATGATTTAGTTAGTTGCTTATACTTGCAGGCTGTACTAGCGTTAAGCGGCCTTGTGGCTGATCTCATTCTTCGGTATGCACTATACTGCCCTACTGCTGTCGGAGATGCATTGCAAGCTGTTATCGACATGCATAACTTCAGCGTGGAAGCTTTAAAGAGAGGACAAGATACTGATGGTGTTGCTTTTCAAACTGCTAAAGCCTGCATATTTGGTCTGGTTGACCTATGTTCTGCTGCTTATTCAAAGACAACATCATCACCAGGGGGTCGTGATATCCGCTCTGCTGTGTTCAAGCTTGTATCAGAGTGTATTTGGAGCTCGCTAAGAGGTACTTAGAGTTTCGACATCTTAATTCAGTCTATGGTTTCTCTGATGCTCTTGAGGGATCTAAACAGATCAGTTGATGAAAAATGTTAATTCTTTTGATCATTTCAGTTTACTCTCTGAAGTTTTGTTTCCTGAAGAAACGGTTTCTTAATTTTTATCTCTTTGATTGTGTTTTGGTTAAAGCTCACTTGGACGTTTGAGAAAGAAGAGACTAAGCTTGAGTGGAGATAGAAATGTAAACCATCATATGATTGTAAGGAGATCACTGCTGGGATCTTGGAGTTTCTTATGGAGGCTAACATAAGGTTAAGTGTATGATTCTTATACTATATGTTCTGTATTTTGGGGATTTCTTGTGATGTGTTTGAGAATTGAAAAGCTATGTGTCTTGCTGGTTTCAGGTCCGGAAGACAATGTGGCAGATTATTACCAGCAACAGGTAGAGATGCTTGAGGGCTTTACTGAAATGGAAGAACTTGCAGAACGTGGCTTTGTTCCTGGTATGTTGTCATGAGAGCACCACGTAGAGGCTATCATGAGTTGGAAACAGAAGAGGATTTAGGTGGTGCACATTTGCTTGTCCAAGAAGTCGATGATTTGGATGATGAAGCTTTTGATGATGATATTGTTTATGTTAGGGTTGATTGTGAAGGCTTGTTAGTGGTAGATTGATAGGTATGTTTGTGGTTTTTGTAAACAATGAAATTTGAATGGTATTTTGTATTAATTTTAATGGTATTCTTTTTTTACAAATATTCGAAATTAATTTTTTTTACAAATATTATATTTAAATTAAAAAATAATTCGTAATTATTTATTATTTTGAATAATTTAAAAACAAACTAATAACACAAAACATTTGCTATCTTTGCTATAGGTAAAATCTAATTAACGAGTTTTAATAACATCTTTATCACGCTATTATAAACATTAACAATTGCACAATAGACAACGCTATCGTTGTATACTTAACTATAGCACAACGAAAAACCGCTATCAAAAGTGTCCGACTTTCTATAACGGGCGATGACAGAGCGCTTAAGGAAACGCTATGGTAGATGAATAATAGCGTTTATCGGCCGCTATTAATACCCACATTTCCTGTAGTGCATAGACAGAGAAATCGTCCATAAAGACTTCTACCGTCTCCTCAATTAAATCCGAGAATATTGAAGTCATACACCTCTGAAAAGTAGCAGGTGCATTACACAATCCGAAAGGCATTCTTCTATAAGCGAAGGTTCCATAAGGGCAAGTAAAAGTGGTTTTCTCTTGATCATTAGGGTGAATTGGTATTTGAAAGAAACCACTATATCCATCAAGAAAGCAGTAGTATTGGTGATTAGCTAACCTTTCAAGCATTTGATCAATAAATGGTAAAGGAAAATGATCTTTTCTAGATGCAGCATTTAGCTTTCGATAATCAATGCACATTCTATGTCATGTTATAGTTCTAGTAGGGATTAATTCATCTTTATCATTCTTTATAACAGTCATACCTCCTTTCTTAGGCACACAATGAACCGGAGATATCCAAGTGCTATCTGAAATAGGGTAGATTACACCCGCTTCCAATAGTTTAAGTATCTCCTTTTTAACTACTTCTTTCAGATTAGGATTCAATCTCCTTTGAGGTTCAATGCTAGAATGAGATTCATTTTCGAGATGGATCCTATGCATGCACAAACTAGGTGAGATTCCCTTTATATCAGACAATGAATAACCAATTGCTCTTCTATACTTTTTAAGTTCGGACAACAGCAGGTTCACTTCATCATCATTCAATGCAGCATTAACGATCACAGGGTAAGTAGAGTTTATTCCTAGAAATGCGTACCTTAGCCCTTGCGGAAGTGGTTTGAGGTCTACCTTAGGTGCTTTGAGCTCAGACCAGTCATCTGAGGTAGGAGAAGGCCATCTCTACGTGTCGTCGAGCTTGCAGGTCGAGTCTGCTTCCTTGACTTCTTCAGGAATTGAACTGGGAAGGCCTACTCGACGTGTGATCGAGTAGGTAGGTCGAGTCTGATCTGAAACGTCTTCTTCCACTGTATTGACTTCTGCTACTGGCACCTCTAACTTCTCAAAGCATTGTGATGATTCTTCTTCTTTATGGGTATCTAGCAGCTTCTTATACCCCAATGTCTCTAAGTGTAAGAACCCCTCTTCTCCGTCTTTGGTAAGAGCACTCTGTAGGTAGTCTTCTTCAGTAAGCTCTTCAAGTAGTTCGTTAGCTAAACGATCCATTTCTTCTATGTAGAACACTTGTCCGTCAATGGTAGGTTTCTTCATCGTCTTAGTGATGTCGAATGTCATCTTAAAATCTTCACCGAGGTTTAAGTCGATCTTACCTCTTCTGACATCAATGAGAGCTCCAGCAGTAGCTAAGAAAGGTCTCCCTAGTATGAGGGGGTCCTTTGGCTCTTCATCCATTTCTAAAACAACGAAGTCTGTAGGGATCTCTACCCTTCCTATTCTGACAGGTAGATCCTCTAACATACAATGAGGGACTCTTACGGATCTGTCAGCTAAGATTAGTTGGATTTGGCAGGATTTGTACTTGTTGAAACCGAGTCTTTTTGCTGCTGAGAGTGGCATCAAACGGACTGATGCACCTAGATCACATAGGCATTCGTTGAAGAATAAAGGGCCTAGTGAACAGGGTAGAGTAAATGAGCCGGGATCCCCAAGCTTCTTCGGTATGATCTTCTTCTGTATGATAGCACTGCATTCATGGCTCAACACAACCATTCCTTGTACTTCCTGAATTCTCTCCATTACCATGTCTTTCAAGAACTTGTGAGAATCTGGAATTAGCATGAAAGCATCAATGAGAGGCATCCTTACTTCAAGTTCTTTGATGTGTTTAGCAAACATGGCTCTGTACTTCTCAATGATGTCCCTCTTAAATCTTCCTGGGAATGGTATTTTGGGCTTGTAGGGTGGTGGAACGAAAGATTTCTTCTTACCTTTATCAACAGTCGGTTTTTCAATTTGGGGACTCTTAGCTTGATCCCTAGGTACAGTATCCTGGTCAAGCTTAGTGGTGTCTTCTACTTGAGTTTTATTCTGAATAGAATCCTCCCCTTCTTGAATCTCACTGTCCTCAGTGACAGGAGCTTGGTTAGGTCGAGCACGCAGCTCTCGACCACTGCGGAGTTGAATTGCATTAGCATATTCCCTTGGATTCTGAATAGCTTTCCCGGGTAGTTGTCCGGGATGTTTAGGTGCAGAAGTAGAAGCAGCTTGGCTCTCCATGTACTTCACCTTGGAGTTTAGAGCCTCAATCTTGAAATGTAGATCATTGTAGGAGCAGTCGATTTTGTTTTGAATCTCAGCCATTTTCTTATCACCAGCTGCTTGACCGTGTAGAAGCTGCTGAAGCATTTGCTTCATGTCTTGATCTTGTGAAGGTGGAGCTTGCTGTGGTTGCTGTGCAAAACCGGGTGGTGGATTATGTTGTTGATAACCTCCACAAAACTGCTGCTTTAGGACAAAGCCTTGATTGTATGGTACAAATGGCTTGGACTGGTTCTGTTGTTGCTGAGGGTAAACCTGATCCTGAGGGTTTGCAACATTCGTGCTCCGGTAAGATAGATTAGGATGAGCAGGCTTGTAGGGGTTGTAGCCCTTGTTGTAGCCACCTTGGTTCTGAATGTAGCTGACTTCTGCAGCCTGAGTATTCTCCCCCTCTTGGATTTGATAGTGCTCTCCTTTAGTGATATAGTGGACTTGCTTCTGTTGAGTAAGCAGAAATTTATCCAGCTTATCGTTGAGAGCCTGAATCATCTCCTTATTATGCTTTGCATCCGGATCTCCAATACCTCTGTTGGAGCGATCAAAATCCTCGTTATAGTTACCATCGGATAGAGCTATGTTCTCTACCAATTCCCAGCCTTCCTCAACATCCTTATTCAAGAAATTCCCATTAGAGGCAGTGTCTAGCAACATTCTGATCTTGGGAAAAACTCCCGTGTAGAGTGTACTGAGTAGTGAAGCCTTCTTGAAACCATGGTGTGGACACTGTATAGTGTATAGCCTTTGAATCTCTCTCAGGCCTCACAAATGGATTCAGACTGCTTTTGGGTAAAACTGGAGATTTCATTCCTTAGACGTGCAGTTCTTGAATTTGAGAAGAACTTTGTTAAGAAGGCCTTCTTACAATCTTCCCAAGATGTGATGGAGCCAGCAGGTAGTGTCTTCTCCCAGTGGTGTGCTTTGTCTCCTAGCGAGAAGGGAAACAGACGCAGCTTGAAGCTGTCTTCACTAACACCATTTATCTTGGTAAGGCTGCAGAGCCTATCAAAATTATCCAAGTGATCCAAGGGATCTTCCAGAGGCAACCCATGAAACTTGTTACCTTGAATCATTGAGATCAATCCACTCTTGATCTCGAAATTGTTGTTCTGGACAGGAGGTGGAACGATGCCCTGTCTCTGTTGATGGTTGCGTGGTGCATCACCATCACCAATGATCCGTGGTATACCAACTCCTTGATTATCTTGATCTTTTGGTTCCATGGCTACTGGATTGTGCGGTTCACAATCGTCTCTGGCTCTACGTTCTCTCAACTCACGAGCTAACCGATCGATGTTGTCTTTGTAGCTGATGAGGTTGCTGGAGCCTTTTGAACGAGTTTGTATGCACGGTAGCTAGTCAGGACGTGGTGAACTCGACCTCAGGTCGAGTAGAGTACCTGAAGCACAAAAACAAGCAGATGAAATAAAGAGTTAGTAACCAAAGTTAATGAAGAACTTGATCTTAAACGTTTCTGAAATCTTAAATGGAACAATGCAACACAAGACTGGCAACGGCGCCAAATTGATAGTAGGATTTTTCTGTCTAACAAGTATCAATCCCTAATACACATGCCATTGTAGTATATTAGGTTTATCAATCCAATCTTAGTGTGACTGCAAGCATTCAAGGTATGCACAGAAAGCAAATAATTCAAGCCAATTATGAAAGGGTTTTGTGTGTTTCTATTGATCCTAAGCAACCAATTTAACATGCGAATACCGAATTCGAAAGCATAAGAAAGAGAACTAAACAGCAAGTAAACAAGAGCAAGAAGTAAACTAAAGACCAGAAACTATCATGCATAAGCTTTGGAAAAGAAACTAACAACCTAACAATGCAGAAAAACGATCTAGGCCTAACAGGTCGAGTAGAGCAGGTCGAGCTAAGCAACATAAACTAACAGAAACAAGATTTAAACAATCAATAGAGATAAATGGTCTTGAGGAATGGGGTAATCGATTATAGCAGTCTCCTTAGTCTATCTAGGTGGTTAACAAACTCAATCAAGTT